TGGAACACAAGACATTTCAGGTACAGAGCAAGAATCAATCTGTCTTCGGTTTGTAGATCATGACTTAGTACCTCAGGAGGTTTTTGTCGGGTTGTATCAGGTTCCCGGAACCACAGGTGCCGAAATTGCAAAAGCAGCCCTTGATGTACTGCAACGACCTAATATCCCTCTATCTTCATTACGTGGTCAGACGTATGACGGTGCTGCAAATATGTCTGGAAAATATTCAGGAGTTCAAGCAGAGCTAAAGAAAATGCAGCCACTGGCATTGTTTGTTCACTGCGGAGCCCACTGCCTCAACCTCATCACTGAAGCTGCTTGTCAGGCCAGTCCAGTTGTACGTGATGCTTTGCAATGGGTTCATGAGTTAGGTACTCTAAGCAAGCAGTCAGGGAAATTTAAGTCGTTGTTTTCTGCCACTGCTTCAAGTGCACAAGGGTCAAGTATCTCTCTTAGACCACTATGTCCTACCCGATGGACGATCCGTGGTAAAGCCATTACTGCTGTTCTAAGCCAATATGCGTCTGTCCTCGAAAGCTTGGAACATATGGCATCAAGCAATGTTAAGACAAATGGTCTGTTTGAGAGATTTGTAAAAGGCAACACTGTTCTGGGACTTCGTTTGGCACTTTTGGTTGTTGACGACATGGAATGTCTTAACAGGTCAATTCAAAAACGCACCGAGACTATTTCTGGGATGAAAGAAGCTATTGGGTGTGTGAGATCCAGCCTTGCTGAAAAAAGAAATGATGCGACATTTCATGACATTTTTGATCAGGCTACACAAATGGTAGATGCTCTTGGCTTAGAAGAAATCAAGATGCCTCACCAAAGAAGACCACCAAAACGTTATAGTGGTGATGCAAGCCAACACTGTCCCAAGACAGCTGAGGAGCATTACAGAATCACATGCTTGACACTGTTGATATGCAATTTCAGGAGAGGTTCACTCAGGCTGATTTAAATGTGTTGGAGAAACTGGAGGCTATTTTACTTTCTGGAGATGTGGATGAAACTGTGGACCAGTATCCAGAATTAAGTACCCACAGTCTGAAGGTTCAGTTGAACATGTTTCATGCTAAGTATGCTTGCAAGTCCAGTGATGAGGTGGTCACATTTCTCAGAGAGATGACAACAGAAGTCAGAGGGTTGTTTGATCAAGTGGAAACGCTTGTTAGATTGCTTTTGGTGAACCCAGTGTCTTCAGCTGAGGCAGAGAGGAGTTTTAGTGCTCTCAGGAGGTTAAAGACATGGCTCAGATCAACAATGACTCAAGTAAGGCTTAACAATGCTGCTGTGTGCCATGTCCACCAAACAAAACTAGACAATTTAGACATTGGTGAAATGTGTCAGCAGTTTGTGTCAGTGAGTGATAGAAGAAGGCAGGTGTTTGGCACTTTTAAATGAGTCTGTACTGGGGCTTCTTTCAAAGTTTTGGTTTACATGTAATGTCAAAATCTCAGATGGAAGGCAGGGGTATCAAGCCGTTAATCAATATTGAAACTGTTTTCCTGTTCAGAGTTGTTCAGTTTCTGATGTAGAAAGCTTTGATTATTTTTTGGTTTTTGGCTGTTTGTCTCTTGTATCAGTTTATTTTTGGGGAAACTTGTTAAGTTTAGATTTATGTGATATTTTTGCACAAAATAAGTGAAAATTTGTAACAGTTATGTTTTCAACTGTAAGCATTAAATTAATAAATGTTATTCAAATTTTTTTGGCTTCATCCTTTCCAACAAAAAAAAAATGGCGTCGCGCAGGTAGCTCCCTTTCCCTATGAGCCGTCCCCACCAACTATCAACACAAAGTGACACCCTTGTATAAAAGGAAACGTGTGTTAAACAGTGTGTGTTGATTCAAGCCTTAAAGCTGAAGTCTGTAAGGCTACATTCACACTGCAGCCTGAAGTGACCCAATTC